GACCGCAGGCGTGGGTCGTTCCGTGCCTCATCCTGAAGCAAGGGCGCGACCGCAACTGGGGAAAGGAGCCTGCTCGACCCTAGCGCACACACACTGATTTAACTAAAGGCACTGAAGCGGGGACCTGGGCTCATGGGGGGAATGGCTGCCGGCTCACCCCAAGACAGAGCGCAGCTGGCCGGGGAATTCTATTCCAGAGGATCCCTAGGGCAGTCCGCACTGGTTGCCACGGCAACCCCACGCTCTTGGCGGAGCCGGCGCGCGCCGCGGGGCTCAGCCACTACCGGAAGTGACGTATTTCACCTGCCGTGCAAGGGTGGGGTGGGACGGGGGTGCGGAGGTGCAGCCGCCGCCAGCCAGTCGGGAGCGCGCAAGGCGCTGGGTGACTGAGACCCCGGGTGAGAGCCGCCTACCTTCAGTCACCGCCCACGGCCGGGCCGCCACCATGGCGCTTCTGCTGCGATTCGTCGTCTTGTGGGGAGTCGCGGGTGAGTGGGGGGCAATTCAGTTCCTAGGGTTCCTGTTGCCGGCACCGCCCTGGGGCGCTCGCTGCCTGCGGCCACCCGGGAACAATGAGGCGTGGGGGAGGGGACGGGTGCGGTTTGGGGGCGCTGCGGCAGTGGTGGCCGTGCGGGAGGTATCAAATGGGGTGGTTTGCGGAGCCGGGCGTGCGAGCCGGGAAGGTGGAATGGCTCGGAATAGAGCCATGCAGGGGCATGAAGTGTCCGGGGGGAGTTGGAGATGGTGGGGACCGAGCCCCGAGATGAGGGGCGGCGGTACAGGGGCTCCTCGGGCGCGGGTGGTGGGCGCGGCGTGCCGGATGCGCCTGGCGTCTCTCCCAGACCATTCTTTGCTGCGGGTGCAAGCTTTGCTTTATTCGCGCTTGCCTTCTCCCTTGTTAGCCGCGGTGTTGTGTCCGTCCAGGGTTACTCGATTTCCAAAGCCTTGGGCTGCGAGTTTGCAGGTGTTGAGCAGTCCAAACGGGGAGGCTGAATTACAAACGCCATGATTAAATAGATACCGAGCTTTTCAGTGCCTCAAATCGTCCAGGCTACCTCTAGGAAAGAGGCGCTGAACGAACAGTAGCCTGAGCCTTCTTGGTCTGGTAGAAGAGGAGAGCCCAAGCACGAGCTGTTACCTAGAAGGTAACACGACGAAGTAGACCGTGTTAAATCAAAAGTAGATTCCAGCAAAAAAAAAATAAAAAATGCGGTTTTGGTTTCCGCAGTCCCGGCGCAAAGTGCAAAGGAGAAATTCGTAACCTCAGTTTGAATTTATGATGAGTTAATTCATTTTGAAGATAAGAGGGGATGACTTGTACGGGGCACTTCTTAAAGGATTCGCCAAGTACATTTTTCGACTGCGTCTTTCTCGGGAGGGGAAAAAAGGCATTTAAAAAATGCGTGGACTATTAGAAGGCACAATCATTTGACACTTTAAGTGATCTGTTTTCATGTCAGTGTTTTAACTGCCTGATCTTGTTTGTCAGGGTAAGCACTTGTATTTTAGAACCAAATTGTTAATTAAAGGAAAAAAAAAATCCATGGGTGGGACCCTGGAGACACATTCGTGTAGCTTCTGGAAGGATTTTTTTTTTTTTTTTTTAAGCCCGAAAGGATCGGGTGGCCCTTTCTGTTGGGATGGCTCTCCGTTTCCTGTTGAAATGTTAATTCCATTGTTGGATGCCACATCTGTGAGCGTTACTCATGGGATCAACATTCTATTACCAAGTCTAATCTTCAGACTATAGCACCACCTCCACCTTTTTGATATGTATCATTTAGACTTGGGTGAAATTTCCAAAGTAAAGCTTCTGCAAAAGATGAAGGGTCAGTAACCAGTTTACTTGGTACATTCCCATCTTTGTTTTGTCAAGGACTAAGCTGAAGTTGAAGTGGAGAACACATGTTCTCTATGGGAATATTTTAGGCTACATTTAGAGCAGAAAAGTGGAATACCATAAACAATGTAGAGGATTTAAAAAAAAAATTTTTAATGTTTATTTATTTTTGAGAGAGACAGAGATAGAGTGCGAGCTGGGGAGGGGCAGAGAGAGGAGGAGACAGAATCTGAAGCAGGCTCCAGGCTGTCAGCGCAGGGCCCGAGGTGGGACTCGAACTCACAAATTTAGGAGATCATGACTGAGCCCACATTGGCCGCTTAACCGACTGAGCCACCCAGGCGCCCTGAAGAGGATTCTGTTTTTCACCCCCTGGGGATGTCCAACTAATTGTCTGGATTTCATTTTTTCTGGGTGCCTCACTTTGTTAGGCACAATGAGCTTCTCATTAAAGGACTATTGTCCTTAGCTTAACAAGACAACTATTTTTAGTTCCAATTTCCCAGCTTAGGGAACAACTCAAAAACTATGTAACTGATGTATGGCTCCGAGTATTTCTTGAGATACTCTTTGCCATTTTAGAAGTCCGTTGCTATGAATTCAGTTTGGGTGGTAACATGATTGGCTTCTACATTTGGCAAAACAGAGTGGAGGAGGCTTACAGATTAAAAATTGCAGTGCTATTTTTCTTCTAGATTTGTCTCCATATGGGTTGTAAAGCGTTTTGTGGTATATTCTGGTTGCTAGTGGAAGTCCTTTTGGTGCATTTTATTACCCACCCAGCAGCAAGTCATACTACCTAAGTCACAGTAATAATAGTGGCAGTGGTAGTGCCACTAATAATAGTGGCAGTGGTAGTATAGCTGTAGCAATCGTAGTAAAATTAAAGCCTTGATTGAGCAGTTATTAAATGCCAGACACTGTTAAGGGCTTTACATATACTCCATCTACCTAGTAACCCTAGAGGGTGTGTATTACAATGATCCCTATTGTACCTGTGAGGAAACTGAGGCATAGAATAGTTATATAACTTAATTTGCCAAGGTCACAAACTTCCTCTTTAATCCTTGCTCTTACCACCATGTTATTTTGCCTCTTTCCTCTTTGATTACCTCTGATTGACATCCTAAATTTTTGTCACTGGTTATCTGTCATGTAATAAGAACCTGCTGTGTGCCAAATACTGAAGTCTTCTGTTATTAGCCCTTTACTTTTTTGATTTTAGTTGAATGCTTCCTGGCACCATTATGAAGACACGGGGACTCAGGGCTTAGTGTTGTAAAACTGACGTGGCCCATGTACCAGCAGCATCAGCATCACCTGGGGATCTTGTTAAAGTTTGGGGGGCTGCTGTTTCTCACACTGTCAGCATGAGTGAAACTAAAAATTACTTGTCTACCTACCGCTTGTTAGTCATTTGATGGCTGCAGGCCCCTGTCCTTTGTGTGTGCCTCAGTTGCTTTATGTGTCAATAGTAGGGATCCTACCACCGCAGAGTTGTTGAGGAGCAAAGTGAAATGTTTATCATTTTGCTTTCCGGAAGTCTTCTTTTGCATAAAATATATGAAGATTAAGTGGGAACTTTATCTCCTCTATATATGTCTCTTACTGTTCACATTTTGGCCATTATACCAACCACCTAAAAAAAGTCCCCCCTCCTCAGAGGCAAGCCACGTTAGATTGGCTCCTTACTCTGCTCGTTGTGGGGTGTCCATCAGTCACTCAGTTTATCTCATTGCACTAGGTCAGAGGGCAGGGGCATGACCTGTGTTCTTGTTACAGTCCCAGTGTTAGTTAGCTTGTGGTATGTGGCAAATAGCAAATGTTCAGCAATATTGTGTGGCTAAAAGTTTGCAGCTTTTTTACCACTATGCCTGTGTATATGACGTAGCTCTCATCGGTTCCATTTCTCTCTCTCTCTCTCTCTCTCTCTCTCTCCCTCTCCCTTCTCATCAAATAAAGATGGTCCTTCTAGTGATCATTCCAGTAACCTTGTCTCATTCAGTTGTTAGTCTAAAGTTAAGCTTCTGCTTTATCTTTGATCTCATTGTTCTGTTCCACTTTAGTTGCCAAAGGTAACAATCACCGTGTTCCAAATCCGCTTATCTTTTGAAACTTCTTTTTGGTTCTTTCCCACCCTGTTAACTTGCTCTTCATTGACTTCTACAGAAGGTCCCTAAAATGTCAACCTTAGCCAAGATTTGGCCCATAGCCCTCTTCTTTCAATCTTAGACCTGGGTGACCTCATCTACCCATTACTGTAACCTCCAAACAGTTGCTAATGACTTAAAAATAGTGCCAGCTCAGCCTACCTCTCCTTTGAATTCTGGGCCACTGTTTCCAACTGCTTAACATTCACATTCCATCCGAATGCACTTCAGTACCTTACACTGTGCAAGTCTGGAGCCTAACTCATCTGTTAATTAATTGATTAATGATCCAATCATTCAAATATTTATGGCCCACTATGTACTGTGCCTGTACTAGGTGCCCTTACAGTAGTAGGTGCAAAGGTTTGATAGGACATTCCCAGCAGATGGTACAGCTTTTGCAAAGTCACGGAGTTCTGAAAGGATATAATGTATTGTGAGAGGTGAGAAATTCAGTGCATTAGAGCATCTAACCAGCACTTCTCAAAGTTTTGATGTGCGCCTGAGTCTTTCTTATAAGAAAATATGGGGTGAGGCCTGAGATTTTGCCTTTTAACCAGTGATCCACACTGTGGGTGGGTGAAGATCTAAGGCTGTGCCAGGAGCTTAGTAGATGAAGATGATGGACAGCTGTCAAGTGCTGCCACCCTCCTTGGTAGTACAAAGAAATTTGTGAAGGCATTAAAAAAGTGAGATTATACACTGAGATTATTCTCTTGAATGATGAACCTGGAGGCAGTTCTGGAGGCAGATAGAACCAATAGATCTGATACAGGAAGCTATCTGGGATGATCTACACATGAGCAGTCCCTGTTAAAAAAAACAAAAACACAAGAGTTGTGTTGGGCTTCCTCTGGTGTGAAAAGTTTTAAGGGAAATGCAGTGAAACCTGATACCTGGTTGGTTGCAAGAAAAAGTTGGAGAGAAGCAGTAAGATTTCTGGCTTTGGGAGAATGGTGAAGTCACTAACCAACAGAGGGTAAAGAAAAAAGGAGCAAGTTTTAGGGGAAATGACCAATGAGCTTAAGTTTAGACAGGTGATATTTGAGGAGCCCAAAGGGAATGGAGGTAAAAAATACCTATTAGGAAGATTGAAACAAAGGACTGGATCTCAGGAAAGACAAAGTTTGGTGATAGAGAATTGAGAATCACCACTGATAGGTGGCATCTGTGTAAGGTTAACCAGGAAAAGCTGGTAGGACTAGGAGAGATGGTGAAATGTGACACTGGAGAGCATCAACATCTAATAAGTAAACAGAGGGTGAATAATAAGGAGTGATGGGGGGGGCATGTAGGAGAACTATGGGATGAGGGTATCCCAGAAACTGATGTAGAAATGAGGCCAGTGGGTCTTACCATTGGGAGATTATTGGCGACATTCAGGAAGTTCTTGATTCCATAAGGAGGACAGTTTTCTGTAGGGGATAGAGTACAGCTGGATTTTCATATATTAAGGAGTGGGCATCAGGTAAGTAAAGAATGAAAAACACGCTTAACGTTTGCAGTTGTCTTGACAGTGAAACATTGCACAAATGACCTTCATTCCAAGGGAGAGTAGCAGAAGCTAAGCAGCTAAGGACTCCCTTACCTTCCAGCCACCCAGACTTAGAACCTTGTTCCTTATTTTCCTTTGTGCTCCATTTCCTCCTTGTACCTTAAATATTGGGGTTCCTCAGTTTATGGCTTCAGTTAGCGTTTATGTCTTGACAGCTTCCAGTCTATTTCTAGTCTGTCTCCCAAGCTTTTTCCCCTCATTTGAAACCACCCACTTGACATCCCTGCTTCGACTTTCTGCAGGTGCCTCCAATTGAACCTGTCTACATAACGACTGTTCCCTCTCCCATTAAGTGGCTTTTTCAGCTAGCAAAATACCCAGGCAGAAAGCTGGGTACCTTACTGACTCTTCCTGTTCTTTCATCTGCTTACATCGAGTCACTTTCTAAGTCACTTGTATCCCTCCAGCCACTACTCGTAGTCCAGTTTATCACCTCTTAAGATGGTTGAAATAGCTTCGTTGGCCTTTGATTAAGTGAATTTTTCCCTACTCCAAGCACATTACATTACTGGAGTGTGTTCTAATGTTTGTCAGGTGGGCCTTTATTGTAATTGTTTTTCCTGACCAGACTGTACATTTCATGATGTCAAGGATTGTCTGATGATTCCATATTTTGTTCCCAGTGTATGCACAGCCCATGCTAATTAAATGGGAAAATGTTCTAGACAGGAATTGATGTTTGTTGGCTGTGGAAAAAGACCTGGAGGGAAAGAGCACTTGAAGATCAAGAGTATGTTCCTCACAGAAGAGGTGAGCAGGGCTGGGCTCCGTACCCTGCACAGGCAAGCTGTGTGTGTCCGTTTTGCCCTGCGCTCGCTAATGGAGTGAATTTGTGTTAACACCGTCTCATTGTAATCTCCTGTTGCAGCCTGTTCTCCCAATCATGTTGTTTCTACCTTTCCTCTGTTTTATACAAATCATTATCAGGTGTAATTAAATAAAGGCAAGAATTGATAGTGGGAACTTTTGGTTCATTTATTTGGTGGCCAGCAAGAAATGGATAAAGTAACTAGCCCATGGGGTGCCTGGATGGCTTAGCCAGTTGAGTAATTGACTTCAGCTCAGGTCATGATCTTGCCATTCATGAGTTTGAACCCCACATCAGGCTTGCTGCTGTTACCCTGTCAGTGCAGACCCCACTTCAGATTCTCTCTCCCACTCTCTTTCTGCCCCTCCCCCACTCATGCACGCACACACTCAAAAGATAAATAAAACATTAAAAAAATACATTTGTAAAATGATAAAGTAACCCAGAACATAATTAAAAATTATGTAATTAAAAAGAACTTATGGCTTTATCCTGCTGTTTTTCATCTATCTTATATATTTTTAAGAAAACAAATCTAATATTCTAGAATAATTGTTACATTGGTGTTGGAATTAGACTGGTTTCTATTAGGAGTGTGGTGCGAAATATAAGTAAAAAGCAACAACCTTTTCTAGTGGTGGTTCCCTACTCATTTTCTACTCCACATTTGGGGGGGGGGTGCGGAAATGACAAACAGTGGAATGTGAAGGGGTTGGAAAACATCACCCTGGCATGGTGAAGTGAGCTGTTGGGGGAGCTGGTTTGGAGTTCATGGTTTGGTGATCTCTTTGGGGGTCTATTATTGGTATTGCTTTGTAAGTTGTTCAGTCTGTTGAATCCATTACGGTCTCTGTAAAAATGCAAAGAAAGCTGAAAATGTTTCTACATTCACTGGTGAAATGGTGACTTAAAGAGACAATTTCTCTTTTGTGCTTTTGCACAGGCCTTTTCTCTCACCTTTCTTCCCTCACCTCATTGACTCACTCTTCCTGGTTTCTAATAAAGAGTTAGCCAATTAGAGTTTAAGCATTAAAGGCCTTAACTTGACTCAGCATTATTTGCAATTTTAATTAGCAGTGTGCTGTAGAAGAAAAGACTGTGGTCTGCCCTGTTGACAAAGAGAAGGTAGGATAAGGGAGGGAGATAATAGTCTATTTTAGGGTAAGTATGAGATCAAGGCATGGTCTAGTTTGTCCTTTGATAGTTGGTGAGAAAAAGGATTAACAGTCAAATTAACCATTGTTAATTGGTTAACTGAGACAATGCAAATTTCCTGTGAAACTATGAAATCACTTTCATTCTTTCAGAGGTGTTTTATAAGTTGGAATGTGAATGGCTTTGATTTAATTTACTTCTAAGACATAAAAATTTGTTTAGATTTTAAGAAGAAACAGTAACTAATTGTAATCACGACCTCACCATTTTATAGTGTAAATGTATGTTTTGTGTGAGTTTTACAGGTTTCTCCAAAGGAAGGGTAGTTTGGCTGCACAGATCACATGCTCTCAAGGAATCTCAAGAAACATTCAGATACAGTGAATCAAATGTGTTCAGCCACATCTCTGTTAAATCCTTAGAGTGACTGTAGCTGACCCTCTCAGGCTCACTTGGATTCCCCAGGGAAGAGAGCTTTGAACTCTTGAATACCAGACGAGTCCCATGGGGGTTTTCCTTAATGGCCCAGACAAAAACTCTTGAGTATTTTGTGCCCTGGGTAGTTTGTACGGTAAGAATTGAGAAGAGTCTTTAACCTACTTGGTGGCACAATGTGAAATCTGATACTTTTAGAATCTACTGGTAACTCTGGGCTGGAAAAGTGATTGTACCTTTTTTTCCCCCTGCTAAATATACACGTATATTTTATTTCAAAAAACACATTATAGAAGTCTTAAATTTATATTTTACAATAAAAGATACTAATATATGCATTGTTTGTATAACTTCATGGACTGGAATTTGAATCAGTGCTATGTTGCGGTCACTATAGACCATCACACTGAACCACGATGCATAGTTATGATGTACCATATATTTTTTTGAGTTTAGTTATTTTGAGAGAGATTGAGAGTATGCGCTCGAGCTGGGGGTGGGGGTTGGCAGAGAAGAGGGAGAGAGAATCTCAAGTAGGCTCCGAGTGTTGTCAGCGAGGAGCCCCAACGCTGGGCTCGAATTCTCGTACTGTGAGACATAACTGAGCTGAAATCCAGAGTCAGATGCTCACCGACTGAGCCACCCAGGTACCTTATTTTTTAAGACAATTTCACACCCATCTCATTTGGGTCTTCTGACATCCTTGGGGTAGGAAGAACAGTTTGTATTACTCTAATTTATAGGAATTAAGTCCAATAAATTGTCACATTGGTCTAAACAGTGCTGTCCAGTAGAAATATAATACAAGACACATATGTAATTTAAAGTTTTCTGGTAGCCACATTTAAAAGGAAAAAGAAAAAGTGAAATTCATTTGAATATATATTTTGTTCCTTTTTCTGGCTTGCCTTAAGCATATCTATGGATGTTACAGGGGTGGTGGGATTTAGATGGAATTGGAGCTCTCGGGCTCCTGAGACCTACCAGGTTGTACCTTGTTAGAAATATTTGAGTCCAGAGTTGTGAGACAATACAGTTCTTCGGAAAATATATATTTTGTTTAACTCGGTGTATACAAAATAGTTCCATGTGATCAAATTAAACATTAATAAGATTAAAATTTTTTTTTTCACTAATTCTCTGAAATCTGGTTAGTATTTGGCCTACACACGTCTCAGTTTGCACCAGCCAGCCATGTCTGAAGTGCTCAGTAGCCGAATGTGGCTAGCAGCTATCCTGGTGGTCAGCACAAGTCTAGAATTTGAAGCTTTAGTTCCAGTCACCTTCTAACATAACTAGTCTCAGAACATCCTGCTAACTGAACAAACATGGGTGTAGTGTTCTTATGAGATAATTATGTTATTATTTGTATCCATAGTATTCTTACTGGTAACATGCTAGCTAACTTTCTTGAAATTATGAGAGCAGTTGTTACCCATGCACAAAACTATATTAGCTGCCCTTATTTGATTGCTATGTGCATTTACATCTTAGGTATGAGGCAGAAAAAACAAATACATGCACCAAAATCACATTTTTAACTTGCCTGTGAGGGCAATAAATGCATTTATGGAAAGGTGGAAAATAAGGACAGAATGGCCCCTGATGATGGTTGCTAGGGAAATTTGAATTCACTTTGGGATATTAGAAAGGAATTAATGCCAGTATTGAGGCAATCAAGTTAGACATGCTTACAATGGAGATGATTTTCTTATTGTAATGAACCCTTTTTTTCTTACCTTCAGGATTTTCCATAAGGAGATAATATTATTTACTCGTTTTGCTGTTATATCTATTTCTTTGCTGTCTTACTTACTGTGAGCTCATCTTTTTAAGACATTTCACCTGAGGGGTGTGTGTGTGTGTGTTGCCAAGTACTCACTTTTCCTGTTTCATGTTAATTAAAGGAAGGGAAGAGAGCCTGAGGTTTTTATGAGCAAGGAGGCAAAGGCAGATTTTAAACAACAGAGCGTATTCTGTGAAGGCGATGAAAGTATTCACCATGGCAATGGATCTACTTTACCCATAAGGCAAAATATGCCGTTTGCATTTGTTTTGCCAGAGAATTCTAAAATTAGAAAACATGGGGAAGGTAACATAGTTCGACAAAAGGCTTACACTTAATTCTGATTGCAGTTGAGATTTGAATTTCTTGAGAGGAGTATTTGTGTGTGTGGAGAGGGTGGGGGGAGAGAGGGTGGGGAAGGGTTGGGTCACAATCCAAGACAGAAAATCTGTCTTGCATGTTTACTTTCTTAATTTCCCCTGGCTTTCCTTTATAATTTACGTTTTTCCTGGTCCTGGTTTATAATATATATCGAATATTTCTTATTCAGAACTTCAATTCTTATGGAAGACATTTGGGGGTAAATAGATTATAATGTGTACATGTGGGTGAGGTTTTGTGCCAGATGCTTCAGAAGATGTGAAGAAGACACCATTCTGATACTGTAGGAGAGCTTCAGTTCAGAGAAGCGAGTCAGGCACTTACTCCCCAGCTCTGATTCTCAGCAGAGGAGGATGGGGATCAGAGTAGAAATGTTACGTGATATAAAAATGTATGGTTTTCTGGTTATTCTCTTTGGGCCCCACTGGCTTCTCCACACTACTTTCCCCCCCTTCAACCTTGTGTCCTAGCCCTTCAACCTTGAGACTCCTGCCCTCTCCTTATACCAAACTTCTGGTTGCTTCTTCACAATGACTGAGAAATGCCTTACCTCATACTCCTGTCCTGCCCCCATCACAGCATTATGTTTCATTTTTACAGTTCAATCTTCCACCATTCTTACATAGCAGTTCCTTGACCTCTCAAATACAGTGATTTTCTCTCTAGTTTACTTAGGTAACCCTCTCTATACTTTTTCCTCTGAAATCTTGAACTCTGTGGTCATTGGCACCTAGAGCTTTCCTGAAATTCTGTCATACCTTCTTGTATCAGTGAGACCTTCAGGCCTTTAACCACCCTCTACCCCACTTCTGGTTACTTTAAAACAAGAATTTCTTTAATAATCCAGGGTCCCCTGGTCAGACCTCAGTTCTCATCTCTGATACGGATTGATCTTCCAGGCCAGTTTCTTTGGTCCTGCTCATGGACTGTGATGCTCAGCTGTGTACATTGGAGAGACTTTATTGTCCACTTTAGCTAGACTTTTTTTTTTTTTTTAATATATAAAGTCCATTTATAAAGCAGTGGGATGTGATTTTTTTAACAAAAACAAAATAAAAATAACTTTTCTCTCTAACTCATTCAGCTCTTTTAAAATTTCTTTAAAAGTAAACCTTTTAGGGTTGTCTGTCTCAGTTGGTAGAGCATGCAACTCTTAATCTTGGGGTCATGAGTTTGAGCCTCATG